AAAATTTGGGCTCGGATTTCCAGATTCTTTCAGTTCTGTTGGACATCTCCAGAACAACCTGACTAAAAGTATGAGAGGTCATTCAGTTTGTGTATATTCCACTGCTTGGGACAAGTTAAAACTGCACAGAGTACTGGAAAATCTGCTTTTGGGGACAGCCTTTTGCTGATGGGGAATGTACTGAACAGCACCTTGTTTTCTCTATAAGACAGTCAGCCACATGTTGATAACACGTTTGATTGTAACTGTTCATGCCAACCAGGTACACGTTAATATATTATTTTTAGTAATTGTTAGCAATAATAACTCTTTCTCACATTTTGTATTAGATAATCCTCCTTTGGTTAGTGCATTAAGTCTTCTTGATTGCTGGGTTTAATGATCTTGTTTCAGAAAATGTTTCTTGAAAAACACGTGTAGAATAAACTACAAGCTACCACCACTATCCTACCTTTCTTACCCAGCCATCCCCTTGCTAGCACACACTACCCAAAATATGTGGGAAGTTGGATCTTTTTACTAGCTCACCCAGCTCACTGATTTGAGGTTGAAATTATGTATGTATTATTTGCATTTTGAAGAAAGCACCATGTGTTTGTTTATGTCTGCTGACTTATTAACTCATGCCCAGTGCAAATCTCTCCTAGTAGTCTACAATGACTGGTATATCAGGTGCTAGACAACACCACAATGTAACATGAGAAATAGCAAATGCTTGTAAAGGCTGGTGGTTCTACACATCCACCCTGAAACTCTCTGGAACGTGATGCCACACTGGTGGGAGAGGAAGAGAGTTTAGGGCGCCTTTGGCATGTTGGGCCTCTTCTGCTTCAGAAAATTAGGGGAATTCTTCCCTGAGATTCATGAGACTGAACTTAATTCTGGAGCGGTACCATTAGGAACTGCAGTTAAGTTAACTAGATATTTTCAGTTTACAGAGCTGCCAGTGCAGCGTCTGTGCAAGCACTAAGGTCACTAATTTGAAAAAAGAGATGTGTAACTGTGTATGTGCATGCATGTACATGCACAGAATTGGATAAGCTCTTGGGTTATGCACTCAAAGAATTTCATTCAACAAAAATTGTCTCAGTGATATTGTCTCCATACATGGTTTGAAAGGCAAGTGTAAAAGCTGCTGTTAGCAGAAGGGGTAAGCCGCATGGAGCATCACATAGTGTGTGTTCTGTTTCTTTGCTTACCAAATACTGGCCTTTTCTACCTTTTCTCAGAGTTTTTAATCACAACTTCCTGCTTTATTGCTGTCTTAAAATTCTTAATTCAGTATAGCTTGCAAATAATTTGTTTTTCTCTCCTTTCAGTATGCTTCATTTCTCTTTCTGGTTTCACTCCATTACCTTAGGGTCCAGTGCATTTGTTTGCAGGAGTGTACATACGAAAAATTGAATTCTAAACCTATCAGTTATTAGCAAAGATGTGGTTGAAATAAGGATGCTTTGAATTGCACTCTCTCTCTCATTTCCTAAAGGTGCTTGGCACAGGACTCTGGGGATGTGGCCTTTGTGAAGCACTCGACAGTGTTTGAGAACACAGATGGTATTCAGTTTTACATGTCTCTTTATTATACTCAAGTTATTTTTCTTGAACTGTTTTTCTGTAAAGCATGTAGTGAGTCACGGTAACTAGTTTCTTCTTTCAGGTAAGAATACCGATAGCTGGGCCCATAACTTGAAGTCCAGTGATTTCCAGTTACTGTGTCTAAATGGTGCCCGTGCTGAAGTCACTCAGTTTGCTGAGTGTCACCTGGGTCGGGTGCCAGCACAGGCCATTATGGTACACCCGGATACCAACGTTTTTGCTGTATATGGACTATTGGACAAAGCTCAGGTATTAATAATCTATTTATCCTATGGGGTAGTTAACTATGGTCTAATGCAGACCAAGGATCAAGACAGCAGAGCCATACAGCCATACTGTGTCTCCTGCATCATGGGACTGGCAGCACGTGCACTCTGCAGAGTTCTGTTGTTGGAGTGGAAAGGAACAGGTGAAATACAACCCCTGTAGTTCCCCTATTAAAACCACCTAAAGTTTTTGCCTAGCCACTGGTTTCAGCTGTAACCTTCCTGGAATCTAAGCTAATTTCCCAAGTTGCATGCACTGAAAATCTAAAATAAAGTACGCTAACATGTTTAAAAGTACAGCTCCTTCTATAGAGTAACAAGGACCACAGACCCAAATGCTGTTCTTGTAATTGCCAGTGACAGGATTCTGTATATAATCCACTGGAGTTTCTAAAATCAAACACAGAACAAATTCTGCAATTGTGCATGAACTCCTCTGCGAAACAGTTTCCATTGTTTATATGTTGTATTAGAGGGATGTAGCACTTAACCGTGCAAAATACTGAAAGTTTTGCATTATTTTCAGGACTTGTTTGGAAATAGCAGCAATGAAAATGGATTCAAAATGTTTGATTCTTCAGCTTTTCAAGGAAAAGACTTGATCTTCAAGGATTCTGCTGTTGAGATTGTGCCAGTAAAAGAGAGAAGGACATATGCAGAATGGCTGGGGAGTGAATATATTGAGTCCCTTGAAGGGATGCAAACACCACCGTGCTCTCAAGCAGGTAGTAAGACGATACCTATTAGTAGTTACTGTCATCTCTCTTCTATTATGTCAGTTACAAAGCTTGGACTATCATGGTCCAAATGGCAACTTCCAGGCCAGCTCTAGCCTGCCACCTTTTCTTCAGATGAGCTGCTGTTTGGGACAACATGGGCTGTGCTCACATTTGAACGCCTCTTCCTCCCTCTTTGCAGGGCAAGGTGCTTGCAGCATCGGCTCATTAGGGGGAGCGCGGTGGGGCTGGAAGCTCCCTGTTCATGTGGATGGGGTGGAACTTGAGGCAGAAGCTAGCAAAAGAGTGTCAGCATGGTTCCAAAACTGGAACCTCATCCTGGGCTGGATGATTCCCAGGTGCTGTTAGGTGCATACTGGCTTTCTGATATGTGGAAGAACTTCTGCATCAGAAATCTTGTCTAGTGAATCCAGTCTGGCCTCCTTGCTGGTAACATTCTGACTCTCTCTGCTTCCATCCCTGCTCATCTCCCTTGCTGTGGGCAAGTTTCTCCCTCAGCTCAGCTGTCAGCAGAGGTAACTGTGCAGAGGATGGACAGGCTGTGGACCAAGAGATAATACCTGCAGTCCAAGATACAGCTCCTGCCATGAGCAAGCTCCTCCACCTTCCAGCAGAAGAAAGTAGGGGGAATATCTAAAGTCACTGGAGGAAAAGGAAGGCCAAGGAGATTTGGAGGGACTGTCTGTTGGCAGAGGAAAGAGCTGAGGCAAACGTGTGCATCCACTGAGCTTGCTGACCTTTCCAAGCAGCACACTTAACTCTTCAGTGTTGTGGGTTGCTTCAGAGAGGTCATCTACCCTTGTGATTTTTTTTATTGGATGCAATCTTCATTGAGAAACATTTGGTTGTCCTCCTTCTACGTAGGATTATCTGGGTGCATGTGCATGAAACTTGCATTTGGTATTAGTGAAGCACAGTAGTTAATTTCTGATTGTTTCTCATTCCATTGGCTTGTAGTATTCAGTTTTTATTTTTATCCATAGCTGCAATTACAACAAATGTTGCCGTGCTGCTCACAGGCAGTGTCCTCCTGACTACGGCTACCACCACATGATCCTGGGATGAAGAGATATTCAATGCAATAAAAAGCTGGTAAAAGCAAATAGTAATAATGTAAATAAATGAAACATAACAAATAAACAGAGAAGAAAAGATGATTTATTCAGACTCTGGCTTGATAGCTAAACTACATGTTTTTTTCACAATTTTCCAAGAAGTTAACACTCCCCTCACTTCTCTGCCGATACCTTTCAGCCTTTCTCATTTCCTTTACTCTAACGTTACCTGGGTTTTAAAGCAAAGAGAAAACGTGTGCCCTCCTCCTATTTCAGCTTTAGATTTTAAAGCTGTGTGTCTAGTGACAACAATGCAACGGCCCAAATAACCACAACGGTATACAGAAATTGTAGTGCTTGGTGGTTCTGAGATCATCTCCATGACACCTCTGGGCGGTTAGTGGAAGCCTGTACAGTGAGTTCCTGTATACGTTAGGACAAACTGTGTTAAATTTTACTGAGCAGAGTCATAGCTGATATACCTGCCCGCTCCCTGTGTGTGTGTGTGTGTGTGTGTATGCATTTCTGCCACATCTGCATCCTTTCTAGCTTGCAAGGTTACTTTCCATATAAGCCAAACACGTCTGCATCAGGGTGGACCTGACGCGCCTCCAGGCCTCGGGCTGTGCGAGACAGGGGAGGCTGTTCCTGTCGCTGTCCCCCGCCGTCATCGAGCGATACCGCGGCCTTGGAGGGCCCCCGGCGTCGCTTGCGGCTTCCTTGTCCCTTTCCTGGGTGCCTGCGTTCGTCAGCTATCTTCTTCCAGGGAGCGACGCTGTCTGCGTGCAGGAATAACAGCAATTTCGCGTTTGTGTTTTCCTTCTACGGCGAATGCGCTTTGTAAACGTAACGCTGCGGTAACGCAGCGCCAGAGCAGG